CGAGGAACGGTTGACCACCGATCGGAAGCCCAGAAGTGAAGGAAAAAGTATTCCGTACAACACCAAAAATCACAACCGCGTAGTTGGGGCCTTCAACCGAAATCCGAACGCCTCCGTTAGGGATGTGGCTAAGAAGCTGCACCTAAGCCGAAGTTTTGTCCAGAAGGCCAAAACTAAGGCTGGGCTTCGAACGTTCAAGGTACAAAAGGCCCCTAATCGCGACGAGAAGCAGAACAAGTCCACCAAAACCCGTGCCAGGAAGTTGTACCTTAACATGCTGACGAAAGTTGAATGCTGCATCATGGACGACGAAACATATGTGAAGGCCGACTTCAAACAGATCCCCGGCAACCTGTTTTTCACGGCCAAGGATAAGTTCAGCGTTCCGGAGCATGTCCGCACTCAGAAGATGTCCAAATTTGCGAAGAAATTCCTGGTTTGGCAAGCCATCTGCACGTGCGGGAAGCGGAGTGCACTTTTCGTGACCCAGGACACGATGAACGGACAGGTGTACATAAAAGAGTGCCTCCAGAAGCGGCTGCTTCCTCTCCTGAAGGCCCACAACGTCCCAACAATCTTCTGGCCGGATTTGGCCTCATGCCACTACTCCAAGGACGTGCTGAAGTGGTATGCGGACAATAAGGTCAATTTCGTGCCGAAAATGTTCAACCCTCCCAACACTCCGGATCTCCGCCCCATCGAGAAGTACTGGGCGATTATGAAGCAGCACCTTCTTAAACGACCTAAGGTAGTGAAGACAGTCGAGGAACTGAAGAAAGTATGGGTTTACATGCAAAAAACGGTTGATTCACAGGTTGTGCAGAATCTTATGGCCGGGGTTAAGGCCAAGGTGTGGGCATTTGCGTATGGACTGTAAATAAAATACGAGTAAAATGGTAAAATGAAGTTTAATAGTTATTTCTCAATCCCTGAAAATTTGATGGCAATCGAATGAAAACTCGAATTTTGCGAATCAATTTTGTGTGTGGCAATTTCATCGTGGACACCCTTTATGACTTGATTCAAAAAACTTGACTCAGCTTGAATTTCCGTACTGTTTGTCAGAAGGATGATGTGTTGAAACAAATTCCAATTCTTGTTTTGGGATGAGCAACTGTCCAACCAAAATGTAAGTTTGTTAAGGTGAGCATGCTTATTAATTACTCTGAAAAAAAAAACAACTAAGAATGTCATTGGCAGTGCGACCACTGATCGACTCGGGCCTAATACATGCAGACACTGGAAATGATCGTGCGTATGCGCCAACAGGAGCAAATGTTTCGTAAAGACTAATAGCTATCACTATCACTGGAACCACCGTACTCCTTTAAATATTCTATGGCAAACGTTTCCGGCCCACATTTAAATCAGTGTCAACATTTCAAAGGGGCGTAATTGCTTTTGTAAAAAAATGGCTTTAGCCGTCGGTATCTCGCAAATAAATGCTCACCCCTCCAAATTAACAATGCTAGCTGGTCGATGAAACATTCCTTATCCTGTGTCTCTGTGGTGTCATTAATTTTAATGAGTGAGCTTTTTCCGCGAGAAATCGACGGCTATCCATTGTTTACAAACGCAATTATGCCCCTTTGAAATGTTGGCACTGAAATCAACAATTTTAAGAAAAAACTCCAATCGTCACCCACGAAGTGGCAGCAACTGAGAAGTTGTTCACAGTGGGACAGATATGCGTACATTTTTCAACTCGTCAGAGAAATTCGCGGCATAAATGTCACAGAAGATTTTTTAATGGAAAAAATATTTTTTTTTTGCTAAATTTTGACAAACTTTCTATGGAATAGTTATATTACGTCAGTTTTTCGAAGTAGAACCAAATTTTTCCGTGAAATTTTACGATAACAGCAAAACGTCTGTTCAAACTTTAACTGCAGTTTTCTCATTTTTGTATTTTGTTACATGGGACAGTTATGCTTCCACCGGCAGTAAAGCAGTTACATTGGAACTAGAGAGAGTCTAGCATAATAGCGAATTCGTTTATTATCGGGGTTGAAACTAGTTCCAACCCAGTGCGAAACCGAGCTTTTTGTCAGTGCGAACCTCAACTTGAGGTAGGTTTTTAAAACAAATGATCAAACTGACGTTTATCAGAAAACAAGCAGACCCAATCTTGATACCCGATCCAGGTTGGACTGAATAATAAACGAATTCGCTATAAGAGATTAGTGGACTGGCTGGTTTTGACCCAAACGAACTGTCAAAGTCAGAGCCAATCGAGCAGCGCCTATCTTGATTGCATTGGCAGTGTTGCTAGAAATAACTTAGGCATAGCTTGTTAATGCATTTTGTTTTAATCCGCTTCTCTCTTCTACTAGACCCACTCTAATTGGAACCATGATAGGATCCATGCACCGTTTGAAAAATTCATATGAATGTCTGCGAGATTATATTATTTATAAAATTAACGCTAGATTTGGCATAAATTTATGCGATATTTCGTGTAAATTTAAGCGCAATATCGCATAGGTTAGCAATATTGTATGCAAGCTTGTAAACGATTTCGCTGTTTATGCCAAGTATAGCTTAAAATTAAACGAAGGTAGATTTTACGCAATAGATAGTTACAATACAGAATTTTTCTGTGTGAAGTGAATCATGCATGATGAGATTGAAAAAAATTGCATAGGTTTGAACAAATCTCACGTCACTTTTCAAAAGGTCCTAAGTAACAAATGTCCGCACGCTATTTCAAAACTACCCAAATTTGGGTAGAATCCACCCAGATATGTCAAAAGTGAACCTACCCAAAAATGGGTAAACTGTGTTGGGAGTGACAAGTTGACAAATGAACAACATTGATATGAATCCGATCGACGTTGTTCATTTACTGACTGCATTAAAAATGGTATTGCAAAATGTATTGTTTCTAAACAGTTAAAATAATAATCTGTCGATCTTTAACTTCGATTTTATCAAAAAGGCGAATATGTTACATTGTTGAAAAGTGACGCAAGAAATCATGATTTACAAGATCGATTCAAAGCTTGCTTTTTTGAACCTTAGCTCAGCATTTCCAAGAGAATTTTCACTTTGATTAAATTGATTTATCAACATTAAAGAGATTTTCAAACGTACGTGATCATTTGTCATACTTTCAAGATTGTAGAGTTACGTCATCATTAAGTTTCAGCCATAAGGTTACTTGAATTTGAATCCTTATAATGCTCCTTGGCCTTCTTTCCTATTTTCTTTAGAGTTCCCGCGAATTCTAGTCACAATTTCCATAATAGTCTTCAGAACTAAACACTTAGAAAAATTAATGTAAATTTAGGTGCTCTGAGAGTGATATATAGGAGCGTCAATTTTGACATAAATTTGAGTCAAAACAGACGCGAAATATAGCTCAATCAAACGTACTTTTCGTCGAGTAACGAACTTTTCAGTCTCGTTTCAGTTTCGTATTACATGACATGTTTGTTTACGTCTCATCTTATGTCAAAGATGGATTCCGTCATGTGTAAACTTAGTTATTTCTAAGTGTGTAGTTTAGAATTCATATTTATTTTGACATAACTTTTCTTGAAATTCAACTAAAATATACAAAAAAATTCTAGTCGATTTTCCGTCAAATTTCTAGTCAAACTATCCGTGGAATTCCTCTACGATTCTTCTCAATTTATTTGGTATTCTCATGATCATTTCATGCTATTCAGTATCAGAATCCAAAGGCCTGATTTTTTTTATATGAGATCTTTTAAATACGACCTATTTGAAGTCAGAAATCTCGCAAAGCTCAAAAATGTAAAAAACTTGTCTAGCCCCAAAATCTTGAAAATTTTCTCATATAATCGTCAAAAAAAATTTCAGTAGAGTTTTGAGAATTGGTTTCTAATAGAATTTCAAAGCTCAATCTATGAATTCGGCCGAGTGCCCTGTGATTAATTTATATGTAACTTAATAAGTTTAATATTTCTGAGGCTTATAAAAACTTTTCAAATTTCAAACTTAAAAAAGTATCTATATTATGAAACATAATTTGATAATTTGATGCTATTTTAAAACTTAAAAAAAAAAATAAAAATGTGAAATAAAAATTCTGAAAATTTATTTTTGTTACTTAATAGAGGACTGGATGAGGGTTTTATTCAGGTTTTCTTCATTCAAAATAAAATGTAGTTTTTTTCCCAGTAACATCAATTGCTAAAATCAACCATATTCCTCTTCTTACCATATTTAGATATTTATATAAAACCGGGACAAATATGTTGATTTTTTATTTTAGTGGCCTAAAAAGATAATTTACCAGAATTTTTCGACATTTTTGGGAAACTTTTTGTATAAAAATATATATTCTTTCATAGAATTTTTGGGGTTCAAATTTAAATTATGTCTCATTGTTTTTTTTTAAACTCATGCTCAGTTGTTTACCATTTCTGTTATATTTTCGTATGTTCTTGGTGTTCCTATCTTATATATAAAAACTTACTCTAGTTAAGCATATTTAATCACATATTATAATCATATTCATTTCCATTCAATTCAGTCTCAATTTATTTAGATACATTCGGAAACAAAATAGTTTCCTTCGTTACATTTTCCCCAGTAAGTTCATACACTCACATTCATCAACCTCACAGAACATAAATTCGGAATTCTTAGATTTGAACGTTCGGAAAAAAAAATCTAACTCCACGCCTTTGAGGATAGTGTGTCTCCACGTAATAATATGTAGTAGTGCGCGTTTTGCATAATAGCTTTTGTCCATTTCGTAAAATCCGCGATTGCCTCTATTTTCCCACTTTAACACCGCGTGCACTAAGTCTTTGGAAGATGATATTGAATGGAAATCCCAGCAAATATTATCTAAGAAATATGCAATATCGCTTGTTACTAGATGTGGATATGTTTTTTCGGTTTTATAATATTTACTTGCGCAATTTTTTTGGTGTAGCAAAGCTTTAAACACACACACATATAGTGGAAACTCAGTGCAGTGAGTCAGTGAAATGTAACTAGTTTTATTTGAATTTCTCACGTTCCAGGCAACGTTTGGAGTTGATGCGCGAAATGTATCACAACGAGGCTGAACTTAGCCCAACATCGCCAGACTACAACGTGGAAAGCCTCACCGGAGGAGATCCATTCTACGATCGTTTCCCGTGGTTCCGCATGGTAGGAAGGTAAGATCTTTGGCATTGTCCCAATCGTTGGGGAAGTTATTTCGAGGAAACTTTTTGTCTGTCTGCAGATCATTCGTATACTTGAGCAACTTGCTCTACCCGGTTCCGTTGGTGCACAAGGTAGCGATTGTAAACGAACGTGGCGATGTGCGAGGATACCTAAGGGTCGCCGTTCAGCCGGTTATGGATGAAGAGAATGCCGATTTCAACAATGGTGTGAAACAATCGGCTCGTATTGTATTCGACGAGGAGCAGAACGGCGGGCACAAGATTCCCAAGATCCGTACAATTCACGATAAGGATGAAAAGTACATTGAAGGATCGAACGATATTATGAAGCTGGAGGAATTGGAACAGGAGGATGCCGATTCGGGTCGCGGTGACTCGAGTGTGGCTTCCGAGTTGCATGAATCGAACGAACAGGAACCGGGCGAGCATCTGCAGCCGGGTAAGGAGTTCACCTTCCGGGTTACGGTTTTACAGGCTACTGGAATTGCGGCGGAATATGCGGATATTTTCTGTCAGTTTAAGTAAGTTTGGGGCAATGTTTGGGTAAATTTGCGGTATTAATCAAACATGTGTGGTTTGTAGCTTTTTGCATCGCCACGAGGAAGCATTCTCTACGGAACCGGTCAAGAATTCAGGCTCTGGAGCACCACTCGGATTTTATCATGTACAGAATGTAAGTTGAAGTGCAGGTGTGATGACAGACTTGATTCTAATAATGGCATTTCACATCTATTTAACAGATTACGGTTCCGGTCACAAAATCTTTCATCGAATACTTGAAGACACAGCCGATCGTATTCAAAGTATTCGGTCACTATCAGCATCACCCGTTGCACAAGGACGCTAAACAGGATTGTCAGATTACGCGCCCACCTCCGCGACGTATGCTGCCTCCGAGCATTCCGATTAGCCAACCGGTACGCAGTCCGAAGTTCGGTCCGCTGCCGTGTCCCCCTTCGTCAACAGTATTAGCCAAGCACGACGTGCTGGTCTGGTTTGAAATTTGCGAGCTGGCTCCGAATGGTGAATACGTCCCGGCAGTCGTCGATCACAGCGATGACCTACCGTGTCGAGGCCTGTACCTGTTGCATCAGGGTATTCAACGCCGAATAAGGATAACCATCGTGCATGAACCGACGCCGGAAGTAAAGTGGAAAGACATTCGGGAATTGGTTGTGGGACGTATCCGTAATCAGCCGGAACCGGCGGATGAACTGGACGATACGGATTCTTGCGTTCTGTCGTTGGGACTGTTCCCGGGCGAAGTGTTGGAAGTACCTGGTGATGATCGGTCGTTCTTCCGCTTCGAAGCCGCCTGGGATTCCAGCTTACACAACTCGGCATTGCTCAACCGTGTCACACAAACCGGCGAACAGATCTTTATCACGCTAAGTGCATATCTAGAGGTAATAATCAGTTCGCTTTAATCGTAGTCTTGGATTGAATTTGGACGGAGTATTGAATATCTCGTTTTAAAATAGCTCGAAAACTGCGCCCGTCCGGCCATCATCACAAAGGACCTGAGTATGATCATCTACGGCCGAGATGCCCGCACAGGACCACGCTCGCTCAAGCATCTTTTCTCGGGCCAGTACCGCAATCCGGAGGCAAACCGACTGTCCGGCGTATATGAACTGTCACTGCGGAGAGCTTCCGAAGCAGGTAGTCCAGGTAGAAATGTGCTAGTGTGTAGAGAGCTAATATTGCAAGTAAAAAAAAAATAAGTCGCTATGCACAAACTTGTTTGAATATTTAGATTTTTGCCTTTGAACACTATTCCAGAGTTATCAGAATACTTCTCCATATATGGTAACTACAACATGCACCAGTGCAAATAAAATCAATGCTTATTGGTAGTTTCAACTGGAATTGGGATTGAGATTTGCTTTGCTTGCAGACGCATTTAGTCTGCTCTTTATTTCGACCAATACGGGTTCCACTTTTCGCACTATTTCTAAAAACTGATTGCATGTTTGAACGAGGTTGTATCTTAAAAAACAACTATCTTATTGCCAACAGGAGTACAAAGACGTCAACGACGCGTGCTGGACACCAGTTCGACCTACGTTCGCGGTGAAGAGAACCTGCACGGCTGGCGTCCACGTGGAGACTCGCTTATCTTCGATCATCAGTGGGAGCTGGAGAAACTGACCCGCCTCGAAGAGGTCGGTCGAGTCAGACACTTGTTGATGCTCCGCGAGCGGCTCGGCATGGACACAACGCCGAACCCGACCACCAAAACCGAGAAGGACGTATGCAATTTAGCCCAGCGAGCAAGCGCTTCGCCGGTTCACATGGTCATTTCACCTTCCCCGCAAACACCGGTTAAAGATCAGCAAACACCGACCCTGCCCGAACGAGAACTTAACCCACGTGAAACGGAACTGGTTTGGAAGTGTGTCAAACTGGTCCAGGGACGTATCGGTGCCAGGGGTGACCCGACCGACACCAGCAATCAGCTTGCGGTGGATGCCTCGCCGGGTGATGAAGGTTGTGCTGATATGAATGCCAGCTACATGTCGGGTAATTCTATCGAGCTGTGCTCACCGGATCGGGTGGATATCCCGAATGGCTGGGAAGCCCCTGCACCGGCTCCGCAATCGCAGGAAATATCACTGAGGCTATATGTTCCGGAGTTGGAAGAGATCCGGGTGAGTCCTGTCGTTGCGCGAAAGGGCTATTTGAACGTACTGGAACATGGTGGCTCCGGTTGGAAGAAGCGTTGGGTCACGGTGCGTCGTCCGTACGTGTTTATCTTCCGCTCCGACAAGGATCCGGTCGAGCGGGCGGTGTTGAATCTAGCGACCGCACAAGTCGAATGCAGCGAGGACCAGGCGGCGATGGTGAAGGTGCCCAATACATTTAGGTTAGTAGATCTTGGATTGCTGCACAGGTGAGGAAGAAGGAAGTTGAAAATAATTCCGTTATGCTTCCAGCGTTGTCACAAAGCACCGTGGATATTTGCTGCAGACTCTTGGAGATAAGGAGGTGCACGATTGGCTGTATGCCATCAATCCACTGCTGGCTGGTCAAATCAGGTGAGTGAGAGTGTTTTTTACTAATATTATTCAAATGATAGATTTTCCAATGCCTGAGACTGCTAAAGCTTTCCGTTGAGAGTTAAAGGTGGTACATAAGCTATTTATGTCATTTTTGGGTTTTTTATATTAACGGCAAGGACTTATTAGAATAATATCAAAAAATTGAAATTTGGTAACTTAAACACATGTTATGCACTATTCCATAATGGCCATTTCGTTGCCAGATAAACTGTTTACGTAAGGTCGCCATTCACCGTTCATGCTCCCGTCATGCTCCCTTCACTCGCTCACTGCATATGTATCATCATTAGTTACATAGAATAACAACAAATACATAGTATAATTACAATTAATACCAGTAGTATCATTGATCATCATTTGCTATAATGTGCTAGTTAAGAGAAAAATGATAAACATAATTATAAAGTCAGCGGTACACGGATCCTACGCTCAAAGTAGGACAAAGTAAATCACGATTACTTGTGGAAGGTTTTAGGGCAATATGGGTTCCTGCAAACTTTTGTTGATTGTTTGAAAAACATTTACAAGGCTGCTTCCTCTCGAATTTTGATTAATGGGTTTCTTTCTCAAGAAATTAAAATTAAAAGTTCTGTTCGTCAGGTATGCACCATGAGCATGGTGCTCTTTGTTCTTTACAATGAGCCCTTGTTAAGACAAATTGCAGACAACATTCCTGGTGTGCTTGTCTATGACAAGTTCATCAGTGTGATATAGTTGTTTTTATTAAGAATGATTTGGAATTTGATCGTCTATTTTCAATTGTTGATTCTCATAGCTGGTTTGCTCACATTCGACTCAATTTGCAGAAGTCAGAATTCCTTCGTTTGAATAATGCTAGGATTGGTCCTCAAAAATAGGGGAAGCTGATAATCTTAAAATTTTAGGAGTTTGTATTGAAAGGAACTGGAGTTCTATGGTGGATTCAAACTATGGTAGTTTGGTTTCGAGTATTAAAGCAATTCTAGAAATCCACAATGTTCGTCTATTGAATATTTTTGAGCGTAGTATAATTTTGAATGTCTTTGTGTTATCAAAACTATGGTATGTCGCACAGATTATTCCGCCTTCAAATCGACATCTAGACCAGATAAAGTCCGCCTGCGGGAAGTTTATTTGGAACAGTTTCATTTTTAAACTGAACAGGAATCAATTGTACATGGATTATTTAAAATTAGGACTCCGCCTTGTGGATCCAGAAGATAAATGAAATGTGGGAGTGGATAGAGGAAGGAGTCTTGATAAAGAGCAATTATAATCTTGAAAGAACAAAGCTTTTGAATGGTTTCTTTATTGCTAGAAATAATCATGTGTCTGTAGTAGAAAACAAAAGTCCAATTTGATTGGGTAACCGTATGGGAGAACTTTTTTTTTTTTTTTTTTTAATCTTTATTATAGAGATTTTTAGCCTGGGGCTAGTTCATCTCTTGTATGGGAGAACTTAAGTTTTAACTTTGTGCCTCTTCAAGACCGTGCAAAATTGTTCTTTTTTGTAAAAGATCTTGTTCTAAATAAGGAAAATCTCAAGCTTTACAATATTGGCCATATTGCATCAACTAATTGTGATACTAATGAACATCGGATCAAGCAATGCACGAAGTCAAAAATAATCTGGGATTGGTGCAGGCAAATCATCATAGAACGGGTGAAGGTTAAGGTAAAGGATATCGAAGATATTCTTCAATTGAAGATTCAAAACTCTTCAAAGCTGCTTTGTGGCTGATGATTAGAGCGGTTTCTTTCAACTTGAGGGTTCACGAGTCTTATTTGATTATTTTCAAGAAAGAGTTAAGAGAGATGAGATGGAACAAACGAGTAATGTTTCACGCTGAATTCGGGAAATTTTTGACATTTGTTGATTGTTCCTTGATGAATGTAGATAGGTAGCTACTAGCATATTTAAGTATTGTGAACTCGAACTGAATTTAACTATTAATTATTTAAATAAAGACAACAAATTTAAAAATAAACATAGGTTTTATAATACTGCGAAGCTGTTAACTTGTTGTGTCAACTAGTAGATGCCATAAATCGATGTCTGATGTCATTTTGGAATCCAGTATGGCAACTCCCGGTTTGCAATGTAACGTCATATAACATACATACATTTATTTGTACAACATCACATTTAAGATAAGACATAATCAACAATAGTACGCCACAATACTCGGTTTGCGGCTGCCGCTCTCCATCCTCGGTCATGCCCAATGCTCGCTAGATCACGCTCTACCTGGTCCGCCCATCGTGCTCTCTGCGCTCCACGCCTTCTTGTGCCAACCGGATCAGTAGCGAACACCAACTTTGCAGGGTTGTTGTCCGGCATTCTTGCAACATGCCCTGCCCACCGCATCCTTCCGGCTTTGGCCACCTTCTGGATTCGCCGTAGAGTGCAGCGAGCTCGTGGTTCATTCTTCACCGCCACTCACCGTTCTCCTGCACACCACCGAAGATCGTCCTTAGCACACGTCGCTCGAAAACTCCGAGTGCTTGCAGGTCCCCCTCGAGCATAGTCCATGTCTCGTGTCCATAGAGGACCACCGGTCTTATTAGCGTTCTGTACATGGTACATTTGGTGCGGGGGTGAATCTTTTTTGACCGTAGTTTCTTCTGGAGCCCGTAGTAGGCACGACTTCCACTGATGATGCGCCTTCGTATTTCACGACTCACATTGTTGTCAGCCGTCATTAAGGATCCAAAGCAAACGAATTCCTCCACTACCTCGAAAGTATCCCCGTCTATCGTGACATTACTTTCTAGACGAATCCTGTCATGTTCGGTTCCGCCTACTAGCATGTACTTTGTTTTTGACGCACTCATCACCAGTCCGACCATTGCTGCTTCGTGTTTCAGGCGGGTGTATAGTTCTGCCACCATTCCAAATGTTCTGGCATGTGTAGGCATGAGAGTCCGTCACCTTGTCGCAGTCCCCGGCGAGATTCGAATGAACTGGATAGTTCAGCCGAAACCCTTACGCAGTTTTGCACACCGTCCATCGTTGCTTTGCCAGGAAAGCCGTTCTCGTCCATAATTTTCCATAACTCTGTGCGGTCGATACTGTCGTATGCCGCCTTATAGTCGATTAACAAATGATGCGTTGGGACCTGGTATTCACGGTATTTCTAGAGGATTTGCCGTACGGTGAAGATCTGGTCCGTTGTCGATCGGCCGTCAATGAAGCCGGCTTGATAACTTCCCACGAACTCGGTCATTTTAGGTGATAGACGACGGAAGATGATCTGGGATAGCACTTTGTAGGCGGCATTCAAAATGGTGATCGCTCTGAAGTTCGCACATTCCAAATGGTCGCCTTTCTTGTGAATGGGGCAGATTACCCCCTCCTTCCACTCCTCCGCTAGCTGTTCTGTTTCCCAGATCCTGACTATCATCCGGTGCAGGCAGGTGGCCAACTTTTCTGGGCCCATCTTGTTGGATCCTGTCCAACACACCTCCTGCAGCGCTACGATGCCGAATCCGCGGTCCTTCAGTAGATTGGCGAGTATTCGGGTGCTCCCGATGAAATTGAGAGATCGACAGTTCCACGTGCCGAGTTTCCAATCGCAAGTCCTATTTCGTTGCTGGGGTCGTTGCCGTTGGTCTCGGTTCGTATTCCTCTGTTGCTGATTTTCCGTTGCAATGCTTTTTTTTTACGGCTGGCTCGCAGGGCCTGACACCAACCCTCTAACTTTCCGGAGGACCAAGGTGCACAGTTGTGCTTAGAGTCCTTCACTGTCACTCGGACGAAGAACAGCTGCCCCTAACATGGGGAACAGACGCTGTTGTGAGCCGCTCCTCCTGGAGAACAGACGCTCAGGCTTGCCGAAGCAAACCCCCCCCTTCCCTGTCAGCCTATGACCAAAGTTCCCACCGGGGTTGGTTACCCGATCTTCCCTAAGGTTGCTCACAGTTCCCGACCGGTACCACGGGGAGGTAGGGATAGGAGTTGCTGGGAAGAGGCTAGTGATCTCAATGGGATCTGTATTGCGCATTACCCAGCATTAACCGACTAACGTCATATAACTTACAATATGGATATTTTCAGAATGGAGTAAACGTGAGAAGCCAGAAATTACTGTGCAGGTATTTCCAATAAAATACGGGTGTGTAAAGGTTGAACACGGAAAAATCCGTATACATTAAAAATGCTGCCATTAAAGCATTTTAAGAGAAAATTTTTTCAATTTTTTTTTTCAAAATTTCACTGAATCAAGCTAAGAGTGTATAGAATCACAGTAGGCATTGGTAGTCAGGATAAGTTCATTTGTTTACATCATGGCTTCACCGGAGCAAGCACGTCGCGATTCGATCCTGCACGCTTGAAACGAAAAATCCCGTCTATCCGCTCCTGGCAGTTTTCATATTTCTGTTGACCGGAAGAGTGCCCCGGAAGAATATAAATTCAAAAAGAAGTCGAAATTCCCCAAAAACTTCCTTGTCTGGCAAGCAATCTGCAGTTGTGAAAAGCGAAACTTTCGTTTTTTCTGGGACCATGAACCAGCAAATTTACCAGGAGGAGTGCCTACGGAAAATACTACTGCCTTTTCTGGAGCAGCATAAGGTGGATAGCCTATTCTGGATAGACATGGCATGCTGCCACTACTCAAATTCCACCAAACAGTGGTACAGCAAAAATTGCGCCACAGTTCTCAAGTAGATGAATCCGGCAATACTCCCGAACTAAGGCCTGGCTCTAAGTCTCGAATAAATATAGCTCATTAAAAAAATTACTTCAAAACAGGGGAAACGACACTCATTCATATGAATTTTATTTAAAAAAAAACCTTGGCAGCGCTGCAATGGCATGCGACCGGGTGGTATAAAATAGAAATTGTCTAGCATTTTGAAAGGCCTTGGTCACCTGAACCACTTTTCCGAAGACAGTAATTTCTTTAACGGTCAGGATGTATAGATATTGCATATACACGAAGTTCTCGAAGTAATCTGTCCAACATCCGGAAGGCCTTTTCCGAATATATGGCCAG